GAATTGCCGGTTGCCAAAGCTTGAAACTCATGGTTCCAAGCCTGAAAAAGTAACGTTACCAGTGGAAGGATCTGTTGATTGCAAAAAGTTAGAACTCATGGTTCTTAATGTTGTTTTGTTTTGTTTACTGAGCTGGTAACAGAACCTTTTGTTTTGCTTAATGGACCGGTAGCGGAATGTTTGCGTTTGGCTGTTGGGCCGGCATAAAAATGTTTTTGCACGAATAAGGTGCGTGTCAAAATGATATGAAAACAGTTTCTTTACAACTTTATGGTTTCGTTTAATGGACCGGTACAGAAACCCTTTGTTTTGCTTATACCGGAATTTTTGCGTTTGGTTCATGGCAAGGAACTGCCGGTTCCCAAAGGTTGGAACTCCTGGTTCCCAACCTGGGAACCATGGGTTACCATTGCAAGCAACTGCCGGTTACCAGAGGTTGGAACGCATGGTTCCCAGCCTGGGAACCAGACGTTACCATTGCAAGCAACTGCCGGTTCCCACCTGGGAACCACAGGTTACCATTGCAAAGAACTTCCAGTTCCTAAAGCTTGGAACTGATGGTTCCCAACGTGGGAACCAAAGGTTACCATGGCAAGGAACTGCCGGTTCCCAGACCTTGAAACTTACGGTTCCCAACCTGGGAACCAGAGGTTACCATTACAAGGAATTGCCGGTTCCCAGAAGTTAGAATTTATGTTTTCGAAGCTACAGTAAGCGGCCTTCATTGTAAGGAACTGCGGGTTCCCAAAGCTTGAAACTCATGGTTCCAAGTCTGAAAAAGTAACGTTACCAGTGGAAGGATCTGTTGATTGCAAAAAGTTAGAACTCATGGTTCTTAATGTTGTTTTGTTTTGTTTACTGAGCCGGTAACAGAACCTTTTGTTTTGCTTAATGGACCGGAAGCGGAATGTTTGCGTTTGGCTGTTGGGCCGGCATAAAAATGTTTTTGCACGAAAAAGGTGCACGTCAAAATGCTATAAGCACAGTTTCTTTACAATTTTATGGTTTTGCTTAATGGACCGGTACAGAACGCTTTGTTTTGCTTAATGGACCGGTACCGGAATGTTTGCGTTTGGTTCATGGCAAGGATTTGCCGGTTCCCAGAGGTTGGAACTCCTGGTTCCCAACCTGGGAACCATGGGTTACCGTTGCAAGCAACTGCTGGTTACCAGAGGTTGGAACTCATGCTTTCTAACCTGGGAACCATAGGTTACCATTGTAAAGAACTTCCGGTTCCTAAAGGTTGGAACTGACGGTTCCGAACGTGGGAACCAAAGGTTACCATGGCAAGGAACTGCCGGTTCCCAGACCTTGAAACTTACGGTTCCCAACCTGGGAACCAGAGGTTACCATTGCACGAATTGCCGGTTCCCAGAAGTTAGAATTTATGTTTTCGAAGCTAAGCAACTATCATTGTAAGGAATTGCCGGTTGCGAAAGCTTGAAACTCATGGTTCCAAACCTGAAAAAGCATACGTTGCCAGTGGAAGGATCTGTTGATTCCAAAAAGTTAGAACTCATGGTTCTTAATGTTGTTTTGATTTGTTTACTAAGCCGGTAACAGAACCTTTTGTTTTGCTTAATGGACCGGTAGCGGAATGTTTGCATTTGGCTGTTGGGCCGGCATAAAAATGTTTTTGCACGAAAAAGGTGCATGTCAAAATGATATGAGCACAGTTTCTTTACAATTTTATGGTTTTTCTAAATGGACCGGTAAAGAAGGCTTTGTTTTGCTTCATGGACCGGTACCAGAATGTTTGCGTTTGGTTCATGGCAAGGAACTGCCGGTTCCCAAAGGTTGGAGCTCACGGTTGCCAACGTGGGAACCACAGGTTACCATTGCAAGGATCTGCCGGTTCCCACAGGTTAGAAGTCATGGTTCCCAACCTGGGAACCAGAGGTTACCATTGCAAGCAACTGCCGGTTCCCACCTGGGAACCACAGGTTACCATTGCAAAGAACTTCCAGTTCCTAAAGCTTGGAACTGATGGTTCCCAACGCGGGAACCAAAGGTCACCATGGCAAGGAACTGCCGGTTCCCAGACCTTGGGACTTACGGTTCCCAACCTCGGAACCAGAGGTTACCATTGCAAGGAATTGCCGGTTCCCAGAAGTTAGAATTTATGTTTTCGAAGCTAAGCGGCTATCATTGTAAGGAATTGCCGATTGCGAAAGCTTGAAACTCATGGTTCCAAACCTGAAAAAGTAACGTTACCAGTGGAAGGATCTGTTGATTGCAAAAAGTTAGAACTCATGGTTCTTAATGTTGTTTTGTTTTGTTTACTGAGCCGGTAACAGAACCTTTTGTTTTGCTTAATGGACCGGTAGCGGAATGTTTGCGTTTGGCTGTTGGGCCGGCATAAAAATGTTTTTGAACAAAAAAGGTGCATGTCAAAATGATATGAAAACAGTTTCTTTACAATTTTATGGTTTTGCTTAATGGACCGGTAAAGAACGCTTTGTTTTGCTTAATGGACCGGTACCGAAATGTTTGCGTTTGGTTCATGGCAAGGAACTGCCGGTTTCCAAAGGTTGGAACTCACGGTGGCCAACGTGGGAACCACAGGTTACCCATTGCAAGAAACTGCCGGTTCCCAGAGGTTGGAACTCCTGGTTCCCAACCTGGGAACCATAGGTTACCATTGCAAAGAACTTCCAGTTCCTAAAGCTTGGAACTGATGGTTCCCAACGTGGGAACCAAAGCACAGCACGCTGCACAGCACCCTGCACAGCACCCTGCACAGCACCTTTCACAGCACCCTTCACAGCACCCTGCACAGCACCTTTGCCAGACTTCGCCACCGCAGTCTGGACAGCACCCTGCACAGCACCTTTGCCAGACTTCGCCACCGCAGTCTGGACAGCACCCTGCAAAGCACCCTGCAAAGCACCCTGCACAGCAGCTTTGCCAGACTTCGCCACTGCAGTCTGGACAGCACCCTGCACAGCAGCCTGCACAGCACCTTGCACAGCACCTTGCACAGCACCCTGCACAGCACCTTTGCCAGACTTCGCCACTGCAGTCTGAACAGCACTCTGCACAGCACCCTGCACAGCACCTTTGTCAGATTCGCCACTGCAGTCTGAAGAGCACTCGCCACTGCAGTCTGGACAGCACCCTCAGCACCCTGCACAGCACCCTGCACAGCCCCCTTGCACAGCACCCTGCACAGCACCCTGCACAGCACCTTTGCCAGACTTCGCCACCGCAGTCTGGACAGCACCCTGCACAGCACCCTGCACAGCAGCTTTGCCAGACTTCGCCACCACACTGTGGACAACACCCTGCAGAGCACCCTGCACAGCACCCTGCACGGCACCTTTGCCAGACTTCGCCACCGCAGTCTGGACAACACCCTGTGCACAGCACCCTGCACAGCACCCTGCACAGCACCTTCGCCAGACTTCGCACCCGCAGTCTGGACAGCACCCTGCACAGCACCCTGCACAGCACCTTGCACAGCACCCTGCACAGCACCTTTGCCAGACTTCGCCACCGCAGTCTGGACAGCACCCTGCACAGCACCCTGCACAGCACCCTGCGCAGCACCTTTGCCAGACTTCGCCACCGCAGTCTGGACAGCCCCCTGCACAGCACCCTGCACAGCACCTTTGCCAGACTTCGCCACCGCAGTCTGGACAGCACCCTGCACAGCACCCTGCACAGCACCCTGCACAGCACCCTGCACAGCACCTTGCCAGACTTCGCCACCGCAATCTGTACAGCACCCTGCACAGCACCCTGCACAGCACCTTTGCCAGACTTCGCCACCGCAGTCTGGACAGCACCCTGCACAGCACCCGGCCTGCACAGCACCCTGCACAGCACCCGGCCTGCACAGCACCCTGCACAGCACCCTGCACAGCACCCTGCACAGCACCCTGCACAGCACCCTGCACAGCACCTTTGCCAGACTTCGCCACTGCAGTCTGGACAGCACCCTGCGCAGCACCCTGCGCAGCACCCTGCACAGCAATTTTGCCAGACTTCGCCGCCGCAGTCTGGACAGCACCCTGCACAGCACCCTGCACAGCACTCTGCACAGCACCCTGCACAGCACCTTTGCCAGACTTCGCCACTGCAATCTGAAAAGCACTCTGCACAGCACCCTGCACAGCACCCTGCACAGCACCTTTGCCAGACTTCGCCACTGCAGTCTGAACAGCACCCTGCACAGCACCCTGCACAGCACCTTTGCCAGACTTCGCCACCACACTAGTACAGCACCCTGCACAGCACCCAGCACCGTGCACAGCACCCTGCACAGCACCCTGCACAGCACCCTGCACAGCACCTGTGCCAGACTTCGCCACCGCAGTCTGGACAACACCCTGCACAGCACCCTGCACAGCACCTTTACCAGACTTCGCCACCGCTTTGCCAGACTTCGCCACCGCAGTCTGGACAGCAGCCTGCACAGCAGCCTGCACAGCACCTTTGCCAGACTTCGCCACCGCTGGACAACACCCTGTAGAGCACCCTGCACCGCACCCTGCGCAGCACCTTTGCCAGACTTCGCCACCGCAGTCTGGACAGCACCCGGCACAGCACCCTGCACAGCACCTTTGCCAGACTTCGCCACCGCAGTCTGGACAGCACCCTGCACAGCAGCCTGCACAGCACCCTGCACAGCACCTTTGCCAGACTTCGCCACCGCAGTCTGGACAGCACCCTGCACAGCACCCTGGGCTCAAAAGTTCGCCACCGAAGACCCCACCTTTGAGAAGTAAGAACCCCTATAGCTTGCCAGCTATCTGGGGAATAAATAAACATATATATATATACATATATAATACATATATATATATATATATATACACACATATATATATATGTTTCCATTTGTGAAACCCTGATACCATAGACCCACAGTCACACGGTCACCCCCCTGAAAAAATATCCCTGCCTTCCATGTTTTCTCACCATGGCATACCTCCCAGCTGTCCAAAATCGCATGGCTGGCAAGCTGGCAGAGGGGACAGCCGGGCTCGACCCCGGCCTCAGCCCGTTCCGAAGTGCGTCCGGCAGGGCACAAAACGTCCGGGGAAGCTCCGGAGATGTAGAGCGTCCTGGAGTAAACCCCAGCGGATGGGAGGAGGAACCATGGGTTCGGTTGCTAACAAGTACAGTAGGGAAAATAGAATGAACACGGGAGGAAAAAGTATCTTGCCTTGAACTAATAGAAAATGGAGAAAGAAAAACAGAATGAAGCCTGGAAGAATGAGGATAGTGGAGAGGAAGCACGGTTGAATAAGTCCCCAATTCCCAGGACATCCCAGGACGATCATCGAAGCGAAAAACAGCTGAGACTGCTGGCTGTTGGCGACCCAAACTTTCTGTGGTCTCTACCCATTCATACTTGGTGGCTCATCCTACTTGCTAGGTAAGTTATATTATATATATCCCTGGTTTTGTTAGAGGGATAAGTAGGTTCGGTTTAATCCACTTAGAAGGTTATGGTTAAGGCTATGGTTAATCCACTTAGAAGGTTAAGTAGGGTTAATCCACTTAGATCTACCAAAGATAAGTAGGGTAGTAATTAGTCCACTTAGATATACTTAGATGGTTGTGGTTGCATAGTGGGATGAGCCACCTACCATTCCAACCTTCGCGCCTGTTGCCGGTGAAGCAACTCTGCCGAAAGTCGCGCAAGTTCACTGTGCCCTTGGAGGCACCGAGAGCTTCCAGGAAAATGCCCAAGGCCCTCCTGGTGGCGATGGCCCATGTGTTGTGGGATGGTGGTATATGGTCTGACTCATGGGGAATGCAAAGATAATGCTTAATTACATGTGAAATTATGTTGTTTATTAAAGAAAATCTAGAATATCATAAAATATTTTTTTATCCGCCGACCCCGCCGACAGCAAGCGGAAGCACGTCAGAGAAGACATTACAATCAGCCAGGGGCAAGAAATGATGAGAGCAAACTGCAAGAGCCAGAGAACCCAGAGAGAGGGAAGCAGACAAAAGAAGAAAGCAAGGAGCAAGAGCAAGCGAGCAAGGCGGAAGCAAAAGAGATAAGGAAGACGAAATCAAGCCGAGGGACAGCAGCAAGTTTCAAGAGCAAGGGACAAGGAAAGAAAGCAGCAAAACGAAAGTACGCTAGTAAGCAACGTTAGGCACGACCAGCTGCACGCCGCAGGCGCCATCCATTCTTCACTGGCATGTTGTTTCAGTGTGGCGAAGGGGTCCGATTTGGAAGCCTAGGCAATCATTTTGGAGCTAGTTACTTGTGGCTGCGACGTTAGGCACGACCAGCTGCAGGCCGCAGGCGCCATCCGTCCTTCACTGCCATGGTGTTTCAGTGTGGCAGGGGGGTCCGTTTTGGAAGTCTGGGCAATAATTTTGGAGCTAGTTTCTGGTCGCTTGAGACAGCAACATTAGGGATGATGAGCTGCGGGTCCGTTTTGGAAGCTTGGGCAGTCATTTTGGTGTTAATTTCTTGCGGATTCAGAAAGCAACGCCGCAGGCGCCATCCGTCCTTCACAGCCATGGTGTTGCAGTGTGGCGGGTCCGTTTTGGAGGCTGGGCAAATTTCTTGCGGATTCAGAAAGCAACGTTAAGCACGGGCGGCAGCAGGCCGCAGGCGCCATCCGCCATTCACAGCTATGGTGTTTCAGTGTGGCGGGTCTGTTTCGGGGGCTGGGCAAGTTTCTTACAGAAAGCAACGTTAAGCACGGGCGGCTGCAGGCTGCAGTCGCCATCCGCCCTTCACAGCCATGGTGTTTCAGTGTGGCGGGTCGGTTTTGGAGGCTGGGCAAATTTCTTGTGGGTTCAGAAAGCAACATTAAGCACGGGCGGCTGCAGGCCGCAGGCGCCATCCGTCCTTCACTGCCATGGTGCTTCAATGTGGCGAGGGGGTCCGTTGTGGAAGCCTGGGCAATCATTTTGGAGTTCGTTTCTTGTGGCTTCAGAAAGCGACGTTAGGCACGACCAGCTGCAGGCCGTAGGTGCAACAAAATCATCCATCCCCAGCCTCTGGGGTCGGCGGCAGGGGGCGTAGCCCCTTCATATGTATATGATGTATGCGTGTATAAGAATATAATGAAATTTAACCTACAACTAATGATAGATCTGTTGAAATATGTTTTTCTTTGTGGCCTGACGATCCCCTTCTTTGTTTAGCCGCGGCACTTTGTAATCAGGACTATCATCTGGAATGCGTGGACAAGTTTTATCGCGTAGAAAATAGAACAAACATATAAACAAAAAAACATGTGGTATGGTCGGAAATTTTGGTAAAGTAACCCCAAAATCTCATGTTGGATCATCACTGTCCAAAGAACAATTGGGATATCTTAGGGTATTACACTCATTTCAGGGCCAAGCCATGTCACCAAATGCCTGGAAATTCCATGCCATTCACATCAAAACAGCTGGATGTTCATCCCCTTAACGTGTGGCTCCTCTCCAGCGCCTCTTGCGCGAGCAACATCAAGACATCCCATCTGAGATCGCTTTCCCCAGACGGACCATGCCAAAGTGTCGGCTCTGCAGGGTCCAACAAATTGAGAAACATCCATCTGAATCTAATTCCAACGCCTCTTGGATTGGTGCTGTTGTAGATATGATATATTCTACCAGTTGAGGCAGAATTGAAATTCCAACTCGGAGCAGCCGGTTCTCTGAGACTGAAACCTAGAAAAGGTGCTTGGAAGAAATCATAGATCGCTATTGAGTTCAGTGAGGTAGGTGTGAAAGTTGTGAATTGAAGGGTAAGAGTAAAACTTTCTGTCAGCAAACTTCTGGCTAAATGATCATGCTTCAACAACCTACAAAATGCGGGCCGTAGCAGTGACGGATGACCCCTCTCAAAACCACCATTGATGGGGTCAAAAGACCAGAAACATCCAGAAACCAAAGCAAACTGTAGCATCCAAATGCAGGATTCCATGGTCTACAAATATCTACTGTTATGGTGGATGATCCAAAAAAATAGCATTGCAGCAGCGCTACTTCGTGCCACGGAGCACTGACGCTGCGACGCTGGTGCTACGGATTGACATCGAAATTGCTGGATGTGTAAATGTCAATTGACATATAAGAAATGTGATGATCATTGATGATCATATCATATCCATCAATGATACACAAGTAAGTACATTTGTTGACCATCATCAATGATATACAAGTACATTTTTTGACCATCATCAATGATATACAAGTACTGAACTCAGCTACTGAACAGTCTTCAAAGATTTGCAGGTTGATCCACGAGCGCTGGGCGCCACGCCGCCACGCCGCAGGTGGGACTTTGACTAGTCATATCAGTCACCAAATCTATGCGAAGGTATTAGGGTGGTATCCCCAATATTCTTGTGATACATATAATACGCATAAATAATATTAAATAATCATATATCTGGTTGGTGGTATACCTACCCCCTTTGAAAAATCATGGAGTTCGTCAGTTGGGATGAGTCTTCATGATTCTTCCCAATATATGGAAAAAAATGGAAAAAATGTCCCAAACCACCAACCAGTATTATTCTAGAATTCTATTATTCTGTATATAAACCAATCATATACAGATACGATTCAAATTGGCACCTCGTCTTTTCAACAAAACCAGGGGCCTCTTCTACCGCATCGTCCTCAGCTCCGGGGATATCCCTGGATGGTTGGTCTCAACCATCGGCTACAGTAGTCTAGACTTATACATACTTATACGATATGGACGTACACCTACATTGATGACATACACCATCCATGATGTCATGATATGTCATGATATTCTCATGTTGCAGGGCAATAATATATCGTGGGCACCTGCTTCGATTTTTTTATTCGAATCAGATTTCATGACATGAGCTCTTGGACGCGCAGGCTGCAGGATTTCTCCGCTTTCGGCGTTGTGGATCATAAAGAATCCCAAAAACACTATCGGCAAATCCACACACTGCTACTTGGTGGCTCATCCCACGAATCCTACGTAGGTCATATCCCTGGTTAGGATAAGTAGGGTGAATCCATGTTAATCCACTAAGCCACTATATAAGGTGAACTAACATATACTTCCGATTCGTGGAATTCACTTACAACTAGGGTTTTCACGAATTTTCTCCAGCGATGGAAGCAGCTTTCAAAAAACATTGGGCTTATGGATAGGGCCCTTTTCACAAATGCGTTTTCAGCATCAACCAACAGGCTTTTTCAGCGCTGATCCTTGGGGACCCCAACCTCCACAACTCTTTCTCTGCAAATTTCCTCCGCAACGCGGTCCGGGCCTTTTGATGCATGAAATTCGGCTGGGTTTAATACAACTTGCTTTATTACCCTCCGGTAAACATACAAATAGCTATTGAAAATGGCCATCTAGTGGATTTACCCATTAAAAATAGTGATTTTCCATAGCTATGTAAACGCTTACCAGAGGGTACTTGGCTTGGGATGTGATGGGATGGGATTGACTTGGGTTTAATGGGATTTTTCATGGGATGAAAGGTTGGATGTCATGGTCTTCAACCACCCAAAATACTGGTAATTTTATGGTGAGTTCGTGCTTTAATCCAGTCCCCTATGAAATAACCCCCCCATGACTGGGCACCCAAAAACTCAAGAACTCCAATTTTCTAAACCAGAGTGTTTTTCCCCACCTGCCAGGTGAGGGGGGAGATTTTATCTAAGTTGCCTTCTCCTCCTCCTCCTCCTCTCCTCCTCCTCTCCTCCTCCTCTCGTCGTCCTCCTCCTCTCGTTGTCCTCCTCCTCTCGTTGTCCTCCTCGTCTCGTTGTCCTCCTCGTCCTCCTGCTCAACTGCGACTCGCGATCCACAGTGTTCGCTGCCGGACCTCAACCACGACCATCCACGCCCAGTGTTCCCTGCCGGACCTCAACCACGACCATCCACGCCCAGTGTTCCCTGCCGGACCTCCCTGCCGGACCTCAACCGCGAGTATCCACGCCAAGTGTTCCCTGCCGGACCTCATGTAGGAAGATTTGCCAGATAGAATGCCAGAAAATCTGCCAGAAGATATGCCAGATAGATATGCCAGAAGATATGCCAAATAGAATGCCAGATAGAATGCCAGATAGAATGCCAGAAGATATGTCAGAAGATATGCCAGATAGAATGCCAGTAATATGCCAGAAGATATGCCAGATAGAATGCCAGAAGATTTGCCAGATAGAATGCCAGAAAATATGTCAGAAGATATGCCAGATAGATATGCCAGAAGATATGCCAGATAGATATGCCAGAAGATATGTCAGATGCCAGAAGATATGTCAGATAGAATGCCAGAAGATATGTCAGAATATATGCCAGAAGATATGCCAGATAGAATGCCAGATAGAATGCTAGAAGATATGTCAGATAGAATGCCAGAAGATATGCCAGATAGAATGCCTTATAGAATGCCAGATAGAATGCCAGAAGATATGCCAGAACATATGCCAGAAGATATGCCAGATAGAATGCCAAATAGATTGTCAGAAGATATGTCAGATAGAATGCCAGAAGATTTGCCAGTAAGAAAATGTATAAATGTCATGGTGGGGATCACACGAAGTAAAGTAATTTGGATGTTTTTCTTGGGTGGTATCTCGTCTTAGGGAACCGGGATTATGATTTCAGGGCTGTCTAAAAAAAATGCGACCTCGAAATCTTTCAAAGATGGTGATCTGCAATGAAAACCGCCGATGCTTTCAGGCTCAAGTTCAAGGGACACCAAGAAATGAGTGTCTGAAGATGGCATACCACCAACATGGCACTTTTTATAATCTAATGGAGATTACATGAGAACATGATGATGAAGCAGTGGCTGTAGAGTATACACCGGTTTTTGGTCAAACACAGATTTGAGGGGGTACAAAGTTAATCATGTTAATCAACACAAGTAGAGAAATGGTGTACCCTGGGGTAAACATAGAATCATAGATGTGGAAAAGCCATGGGTTTTTCTAGGGAAATCATCTACACATGGTTTTTCCACATCTCGTTGTATGTTTACTCCGGAGGCTAACTCTTCCAGCTCAGCCCCGGCTCCTCGGCTGAAAAGTCCTCGCCGACACGTATCGTTCAGAACTGCGGAATAGGATGGAATAGGTATCTGTAGGGATTCTCTGGGTATATAAATCATCCTTGATTGACCATGATCAATATTCCATGGGGAGGTCGTTATCGGGTTTCTATTGTTTTCTTCAGGGTTGATCATCCCGAATCAAGATAGCGTTGCAAAAAAATAGTTAAATAGTTCTGCGAAGACTCAGGAAAGAAGAAAATGACTAGTGATCTCCCCCTATTTGGCCTCTTGATCCCCCACGATACACCAATTTTTGCTGGATCAAATCATCCGCAGAATGGAAATGCACCAGGGATTGTTTGCATATCATCAGTTCCCATGTCCATCATGTCCCCATCAGAAGTCGATATTTCACGATAGTTTACCCTCTAGCTAGGAAATCCCCGTGGCCTAGCCAGGTTTAGTTCGCTGGTGGGAAAATCCTCCCGCTTTAGTTGGAGCATTTTCCAGCCTGCGCCATGTTTGATTGGAGGGTACCCTCTGGTAATTTAACATAGCTTTTGAAAATGGCCATTTATAGTGAGTTGTCCCATTAAAAATGGTGATTTTCCATAGTTATGTTAGTTTACCAGATGGTAATCAGCAAAAATAAAAAGTATCAGTGTTTTTTCTTCTGGCCAGCAGTGGATCAAAGGGGACGCCCGTTGCCAAATGTTGCCAATGCAGGTCGGCAGTCCCATTCTTCGTTCCGCTCTTGCAGGTCAGCACCTCAGCGCAGCTGGTGACACCAAACTATTCCCATCTCTTAGGAGCACAGAAAACACAAAATCCCACCCCAAAATGCGACATGTCCGTCATGACCGAAGCTTTGAGCTGTAACACAGTTGGTTGAATTTGGAACATCTTCATGAAGGCATGAAGGCAGGGTTTCCTGCAAATTTTCCCTTCAACCAATTCCGGGAAGAATTTAAAACTGGGTCCATGTTGAAACCCAAACCTAGGGTTTAATTCATTGGCTTTGTTTTTGATTTTGAATATTCTCCAAAGACTTACCCTACAGTAATCAAATGTAATCAAACATGGTGGAAAGTACCCCAATTTGGGTAGGTAATTCAGTAAGCGAACTAAACTTCCATGGCTAGGCCACGGCGCTTTCCCAGCGAGGGTAATTCCAGGACTCACAACTAGTCACCATTAGTGCCACACCTGCCACGCAAAACGAAGGTAGATATCTCCAAGTGCCACACCTGCCACGCAAAACTTAAGGTGGATGTCCAGAAGTGCCACGCCTGCCACGCAAAGTGGCTCGGCGCCCCGGGCGACCAACGGCGACCAAGCGCGCCACCAAGTGCAACAAGTGCCACGCCTGCCACGCAAAACACAGGTGGATGTCACCAAGCGCCACCCCTGCCACGCGAAACGCAAGTGCATGTCGCCAAGTGCCACGCCTGCCACGCAAAGTGCCGCGGCGAAAGCGGTGTGTGAAAGTGGTGTGTGAAAGATGGTGGGTGACAAAGATGTGTGTGAAAGATAGTGTGTGACAAAGTTTTGTGTGAAAAATGGTGTGTGACGAAGTTGTGTGTGAAAGATGGTGTGTGAAGATGGTGGGTGACAAAGTTGTGTGTGAAAGATAGTGTGTGACAAAGTTGTGTGTGAAAGATGGTGTGTGGCGAAGTTGTGTGTGAAAGATGGTGTTTGACAAAGTGGTGTCTGAAAGATGGTGGGTGACAAAGATTTGTGTGAAAGATGGTGTGTGGCGAAGATGTGTGTGAAAGGTGGTGTGTGAGAGATGGTGGGTGACAAAGTGGTGCGTGAAAGTGGTGTGAAAAAGATAGTGTGTGACAAAGTTGTGTGTGAAAGATGGTGTGTGACAAAGATGTGTGTGAAAGATGGTGTGTGACAAAGATGTGTGTGAAAGATGGTGTGTGACAAAGATGTGTGTGAAAGATGGTGTGTGACAAAGATGTGTGCGACAGATGGTGTGTGACAAAGATGTGTGTGAAAGATGGTGTGTGACAAAGATGTGTGTGAAAGATGGTGTGTGACAAAGATGTGTGCGACAGATGGTGTGTGACAAAGATGTGTGTGAAAGATGGTGGTTGACAAAGTTGTGTGTGAAAGATGGTGTGTGACAAAGATGTGTGTGTGTGTGATAGATGTTGACAAGATGTGTGCGAGGAGGCGGCGGAGGAGGAGGAGGAGAAGGCGGAGGCGGGATACAGAATCAAAAACAAGAACACCACACAAAGATGTGGGGAAAAATCAAGACCACTTTCATGTATAGATGATGTTTCCAGTAAATGAAAAACATGGTCCATTTAAAAAATAATTATCCAAGATGTCCTATATTTTCCAAAAATCAAGACCAATGTCATTCCATTGAAGTCCATTTATAAGAACCAGTCAAAGCATGTCAAAGCAACTACCAAATAGTTGCACAATACAACCAAATAGTTTTTTCAATACGAACGAAGAGTTTCGCAATATACGTTGCGCAATCCAAGACAGTTTCGCAATGATGTGGTTAACAATGTCATAAACCATCCCCCAGTCATCACCACTTTTATAGATGGGATTCAAACCATCAAACCATATGGGTGGTTTATGGCGTTGCTTTATCCACATGATTCAGTTTAATGTGGTTATTGATGATTCAATCGAATGGTTAATGATTCATTAAATGGTGATTAAAACAGTGATTATGGCAGTGGTTTACCCACATTAGGACTTTATCCCTGTTGACTTTCATGGATCCTCCCATCCCGCGACCCCCCAAAAAATGGTGAGGCTCCGTGCCGTCCACTTCGCTCGGAGCAATGGTGGAATCATCTGCGCCTGAAACGAAAACGGTTCAACTGTTGGGGGGCCCCGAAAACGATGGTATAACTAGAGCCTAAGTAGGGTTTATGGTGGTTACCCTCCAGTAAATTAACATAGACCCTGGCAGTCATCGGGGTTGGAAGACTAGTTTCCATGAAAAATTGGTGATTTTCAGGGTCTATGTTAATTTACCAGAGGGTATATGTCATTATAACATATCATCACTATGTCGTTGATGCATGTTAATGGAGGTCATGAACCAAGAAAAAAATTCTGGGATGCTCACAATATGAAGGGGTCAAAACTAGTGGAGTCACCTGGTTTTCACAGAAAAATAAGGGCTGATATTCACATTGGATGTTCATCTCCCCCGCAAAAAGTATTCATATGTGTATCTGTATTTATATAGAGATTTGGCCCTACTTCTGCATTTCCGAATACTGAGTCCCAGTGATATTTATATAATTTTACAATTATTTTATATGCATGTTCAATCTAGTTGGGGCCCAGTTGGGGCATTTTTGAGACCCAAAAATGACTGTTCTCAGCAGTGCGATGTTTTAGCCACTGGAACGTGTCCAATCAGCAATTAAATTGAACATGAACTTCAAAACCAAATAATTAGCAGCAAAGCAATAGGATCCAACATCCCCAATTGACAGTAAATTGGTGGGAACCATCCAGATGGCGGGTAGCATGAAGAATGGGGCCTTCCAAGCCACCAAATTTTTGGTACTGGAAAAATCCATGGGAAACTCCATGGAAAAATCCTGTGCATTGAAAAGATGTTCTCTCGATGATTTTCGGCATCATCCAAACAAATCGAGAGATGGACAGGAAAGCATTGGGAAAAAAAATCCCTCAAAAGCGCCTCATTCCTTGGTGCTAAGTTGATCCGCTAAAAGCGTTACGAGTTGACTAAACATCTAGGCTGGCTGCTTAGCATTAGTCGCATTAAACCAGCCTGCTATGGAGCCCTAAAATGATGCTACCACCACTTCGGAGACCATTTTAGTACCTATCCCATGACGGATCCATGGTGCTGGTATATATGCTAACATAAAGGGGGTATATTGATGGTAAATGTTACCATATATAGCATACATGGATCCTACGGGTATGGTTTTTGGGGATGCATTTTAAGAACCCATCAACACCAGAACATCGCTGGAATCAGGCTGGATGTTCATTCCAGAAACCTGATGAAACCTCCATCAGTCCCCATTGGTCGAAGTGGATTATGGATTAAAAAAAATGTGATAAAGGATCAAAACATGGTACATGGTTTATGGATGTTTATGGTCATCTCGGAATTGGAATCGTTGATCCCATCAATATATCCAAGTCATGTTAGCATATATACCAGCACCATGGATCCGTCATGGGAATGGGTACCCTCTGGTAAACTAACGTAACTATTGGAAATCACCATTTTTAATGGGAAAACTCACTATAAATGACCATTTTCAATAGCTACGTTAAATTACCAGAGGGTAAACAAGTCCCTATGACCCTATGGATTGATGACTGAAATTACGGCAGCGAATACCGTCAGTTGTATAGGGGTTATTAATCCCCCACCACAACACCAAATCACTCCACTCTATTTCTCCGTTTCGCCAAGCCGTGACTGGCTTCAAGGGCCCTTGTGAACCCAAATGATTGCGAGGCCTTTCATACAAGCAAGTGGTGACATGTCACGTAGTGAGCATGACCCTGACATGTCACGTAGTGAGCATGACCCCACTGACTTTCATACGCCCTCAGGCTGAGAAAATCATTTCAGCCATCATTCATGCTTCCTTGTCTCAACGCTTCACTTCAGGCATCGAGTGAATTCCGAGGTTTCCTGACGCTGCCACTTGATCTTCTTCAGGTACAAAGCAAAATCAACCGCTTGGGTCTTCTTGCACTTCTCAATGTCTTCATTGGCAGGCGTGTAATTGGATCGGATCCACTGAATGTAGCGGGCTGTCTCTGTGCAGTTGGTCGCACGGTAGATGAGCTCATCATAGGTGATGTTCTCGTCACTGTATTTCTTCATCTTGATAATCGTGCGGCCCCACTCATTCACATTTGCACACCGGGCGGCAGGGGAATGACCACCTGACCTCCAGCGGGTGCGTATGACGCCATAGGAGCACCAGAAGCGCACGGCTTCTGCACGGGTGACTTGTAGCCCTCTGCGAAGTCAAGGCTCGGATCCTCATCACGGGGCTCCGTTCCACATTGCTCTGTCAGGGCCTCCCACTCTGAATCGGTATCCAGACGGCGCTTCGAGGCATCACTCATGCCTTGTTGGACTTTGTCAAGCAAGTCCTGGACATGAACCTCGGTGCCACGGCCATGAATGTGGCGGCCAACCGCTTGAACAAGGCGCCATCCCTGCTCATGCACGATGGCTCGATGAACCAGTTCGGCACAACGGCTGACTTCCACCTCAGACAAAGGGCCGGTGGAATCGGTCTTCGAAAGCTTCGACATGCGGCCGGACATCTAGGCTACAAATCAGCTAAGATCGGCGGAGTCGGAAGTCTGACTGAATTTCCAAAAAGCTGCACTCATGAAGAGACGCTGCAAAAACAGGCGGCACTGTACAACTGGCTTGCAAAAACTTGGAAAATTACCCTTAAGGTTATCAGCCATATTCACAAGGTTATTAGGGCCCAGACCTATCGATTTCCCCATGGTTATTATACACTATACATGCATGGTGGATGCTAACGACTGGCGAGGCTCTCTTGGATTGCAGTAGCTATTGTGCTGGCAAAATGCCAGGGTTCCCTTTTGCCTTCTCTTTTCTGCCTGACTCGGTGCATGGTTTGATATGGTACATCCAGTTTTTGAGTAAATCAAAGAGGGGACGATTGTCTGCTTTGAGTTTGGTAAGCACATCTGCGGCCATTCTCAAGTTGTTGATCCAAAAGGCTATTATGTTTTGATTCTCCATAGTTTCCTTAGCAATGGTATAATCAATTTGAAGCCTACGTTCAACTGAAATGGATTGACTGCAGCAACTTCTTGTGACAGCATCGTAAAACCCTTTTGAATCCACTACAAGTGCAGCTGGATGTTGAGGCTTGAGATTACGAAACTCCTTTGGGGATATTCCATCTATTGTTTCAGCCATTAGTGCTTGGAACATCTCTATGGCATCCAGACCATTCTGTCCTGCTAGAGTTTCTGCTGCTACTGATGAACGAACTGCACGGCGCAATTTCTTTGACGACCAATCAACGATCCAACATCGTGCAGGCTTCTGCTGAAGCATGGGACTGGCTACCAGGCACAACAAGTATCCACCTTGAGACTCACCGTTTCCTCTAGTACCCCAACCAGCATCACTTATGGCCATGATGCGCCAGTCTTTGATGGGAACATCACTAGGGAATTTGAGGCAAATCTTATTTTCCTTCATCTCACGGACTGCCTTGTTGTAAAGCTGCACATGGGACACGGTTCCTTTGTCCTGCATGCCCTGCAAGTAAGACGACAGGAACGCCTGATCTGGCCGAGTTGAATTTGCTACCCAGGCTAACTGTCCTGCGCACTGCCTCAAAAGGCTTGGATTGGACAGCGCGGTGCCAGCACTACCCAGTGGCTTAGTTGCTACCTGGTTCAACCCTTCTATATAGGACTCCTGGCCAACTTCTATGCTATAGTTCGATGGGTTCTGTCGGATTTCTACCCCCGTGTATCGGATTGTGAAAGTGCGATAATCCCCAAATGGCAACTTGCTTTTGAGTTGGGAAAGAACTTCATCCATCTCTTTTGTTCCTCCTCCTAGAATATCGTCAACATGTATTCCACAAATCCCACACAGTTTTCCCTTTTTCCTTAAAACAAAAAGACATGGATCTAGTTTGGATTGGGAAAGTCCTACAGCATTCATTTCTCGGGTTAATCGTAAGAACCATGCTCGGGGTGCTTCTGCTAACCCATATGCTGCTTTTTCCAATTTCATGAGATCCCCTTCATCAAGTTTCATCCATTGTCTAATCTCAGGTGGGGGACGAAAGTAGATTTCCCTATTCGAAGGATCACCCGACAAGAACGCCGTTTTGATGTCGGCTCCCCACAACTTCCAGTGCATGGCTGCGCACAGAGAAAGTACTAAACTTTTGGATTCCTTTCGGAGCGTGGGGCTATCCGTGGCAATTCGACCCAACTCTGGATCCTGCCGACCCACCAAAACTAGCCTAGCCTTCGGGGTTTGCTGCTTTTCATCGGGATCTGAAGACTTTTTCCATACCAACACCCACCTAGCTTTTATTATTCTATCAATTGGGATTCCCTTGGATTTACAAATAGTGGTGACCTTGTTTTCTACCCATGAGTTCCACTCCTTTTGCATGGCTTTTTCAAACAACTTTTTGTCATGGTCATTCAACTTCCGGAAATTTACTTCTACCCTGCGTTGTTTGGCTGCTGCAGGGGTTGCCATGAAACACTCATCAAGTACTCCCCATAGGAAATGGGAATCGTCACACACATCTGTTGCAAACACATCCAGGGATACCTCAAGAACCTGTTCCACCTTTTTACCAGAGACCAGAAGGTCTTCATCATCATTTGGTACTGGCACCTCATGCGGAGGAAGGCTGGGAGCTGAAGGCTCTGCGGCTTCGGCTGGCGGTGCATCTGCTGTTGATGCTGCAGCTTCAGGCACTTCTGACGGCTCAACAGCTACTGAGGATGGCTGTTCTTGGGGTTCCATTGATTCATCTACTTCATTTCTAGGTGAATGAGCTGGGGTTGTTGGCTCATATGGGTGTTCATCTTCAGCGGGTTGCCCATCATTTAGTTTTCTGCGGTGAGCCGGTGGCTCTTCAGGAATTTGTGTCAAGACAGTGGGTTCATCGCCCTCTTGGATTGGACCTAATGGTGGCATCCCTCTACTACGTTTCTGCCAATACTCTGGGGATCGGTTGAAACGAACACGGATTTTTCGGGGGGCAGGGAGCCCATCATCGCCCTCCAAGTTAGGACGTTTGGTGGATTTCCGTCTAGGGGGG